TTTATCTCTTTATGAAATATTCTAAGATTTTACTATGTTAAACTAGACATCTTAAGGTTTCCAACGATTTATTTTATGTCTCAATCGGAGTTGTATAACTCCGGTTATGTTTTACACAAGGTGACTGCTGCAAATGAAATTTCCAGTAACCAAAACGCGACTTAAAATTGATACTGAGATCAAATCACTTATCCAATGGCTAATAATTTTACAGAGTTATAGCTATATGTGATAGCTTCACATAGGTCCAAACGGCACTCAATTTGGAGCTCTGTAGCTCAAGATATCAAATTTTTACTAAAACAGGTTCGTTGTTGTCCAGACCAAAATATCGGGATATTGCCAAAGGAATATCGGGATATCGATATCCGGATATTTCCAGAGGGATACCCGGATATCAATATCGGGATATCAATATCCGGATATTGGTTTTCTAATATCGGGATATTTTGCGACAGAATGCCAAAAATACATTTTTTCAAGAGTTTTTCCTACAAGCTTCAACTTTTAACCAAAACTGAAGTCCAAGCTATCATTTTCATATATATATTCATGCTTGTTTTCATCAAGGTTACTTATTCCTTTCATTTAACAAGTTAAAAATCCATTCTTTTCAAAGAGACTCATGAACCAAAGTAAGAACATACCCCCAAAAGCTTCAAACAGCAATAAAGAAGGTGTCTTGATGGTTTCAATGTCACTATACAGTGCAGCAACACATGGCCACGAAAATGAGCATCAAGATAGGTCTTTTAGTCCACAAGAAAGCTTCTTGGAGCTTCAATGGCCTACGGAAAAGGTTTTCCATCCCTCCAACCCAAGGTATCAGCCTCCCACACCCCACACAGTGGCTGAAGACTCAGAAAAGGCACCCACACTTCCTCACAAGGCTAGCTCTCACTCAATAATGAAGGAAAATGAGGAAAAGTGAACACTTGGAGAGGTTTTTGAAGAGCAAAGGAGGTGACAAGGTGAGGTCTAAAGGCTGCTGAAGAAGGAGGCAGAAAACTCACATAACAATGCACCAAATCAGCCTAGGGTTTAGTGCCCATGAGCATTTATAGTCGATTTAAGCTTAATCGCACTGTATTAGCGCTAATAGCTACACTTAGTATTTTAATTCCAAACTTTGGAATCTGAAACTACTCATTTTTCTAAGATTTATCATATTTTTATTTTATTTTTCGCAGCACCTTTCCGACACGCGCTTTTCCATAGCCAGTATCAGTTCTGGCATCAGTTCTCATTATTTTGACCTGAAACTTGATTTACTAGGGGTGTTCATCAACCGATCCAAATCAATTCAAACCGCGAAAACCGAACCGAAAAACCGATAACCGAATAAACCGAAAACCGAAAAATCAGAAACCGAAAGAAAACTGCAAATTTTAATTGGATTGGATCAGTTTTTGGATGGGTTGATGAAAACCGATCCAATCCAAACCGATCCAATATATTAATTATCCTCTACTTGTCCTTTCTCCAATCATAGCTCAAAAATTTCTAAACTCAAGACCCATTACCTTATCAACTAAACCCAAAAAAAAACTTAGTCACGTCTCATCAACTATAGTATTGTTTACTGATATTTTTGTATTTCAATTTTTTTTCCAAAGCCAATATATACAAAAGATGTTATTTTCACAATAATCATGAAACTAATTTTAGGATATTCAAAAAACTGAAAACCGATCCAATCCAAACCGAAAAAATTGGATTGGATCGGATCGGATTTGAAAAAAAATCTAAACCGAATGGATGATTACATAATCAAACCGAAGGGATTGGATCGGATGAGTTTTGCTTCCAAAACCGATCCAATCCAGACCGCGAACACCCCTATGATTTACTAGTCCTATATAATATTCTAGGAATATTCATGCACTTATTATAATTTTTCGGGATACTTCATCGGTACGCATTTATATCGAGTAGTAGAATCGGTATCTGCAATTTTCGTCAGAAAAGCGACTTTCAGCATTATTACTCACTTACTATAATTATTAAAGCCTCTTAATAATTATTAGGATCAATTATGGAATTATTTCCTAATTTCACATAATTAATTAATTAACTTCCTTAATTACCGGTGCGGGTTCTTACATACCACATTTGGGTCTATCATGACTTGTTTGGCATATATTGGACTTTCATATACTTATCACATCATTTATTCACTTCTGGACTCTACGGGTTTCTTAAACAACAGTACAAAATACCCGGTAGAAACACTATTCATGATATTTTCATGAAAAGTGCCAGACTATACAATTTTTCATTCCGAACTTATATTTTGCATCAGAATTACCAAATTAGGTCTGTAACCTCATTTTGCTCATTTCCAAGCTCTACCAGTTGCTACACAATAGTGTAGAATACCCGATAGAAGGCACTGTTCACGACCTAGTCATAATTACTGTCAAAACGCGTGAAATCACATTTTGAATCTAATTATGATATTTAAACCCTTAAATTAAATCTCTAACTAAGATTTACCAGTTGGGGTCATTATAGAAGCTAATCATATTAATTTTGTAATTAACATCACGAAAAAATGAATAAACTTTTTTCTTTTTCATTATACATTGTCATTTACATAATGAAATCTAATACTCATTCGGCGACATGTTATTTAGCCACTAATCATTTTAAGTCGTTCACTTAGTATGTTACTAGGCCTCACATCTTATGTAAAGAAATAATAGCTAAATAACAACACAGGAGGGGGGTAAATTGTGTTTTAAACTTTTCGCAAATAACAAAGAAAAATTAAAATCTCATTTTTCCAAGAAAGCATGCAAGAAAGATTTAACAATTAAAAAAAATCCCAAAACCCTTAAAACAAACTCATATTATCAAGAACAATGAATCAAAGAAGAGTAATATGCAGTGAAAAATAAAAAGAGTAAGGGAAGAAAAAATAACACCGGGATATATCCTAGTTCACTTTCCACCACTGAGAGCTACATCCAGACTGAGGCCGATCGATCCACTATCATCAAGCTTCCAATAGGTGCTTGAAGAAACCGTTTTATAAGAGAAATTTCATAAGACCTGTGATCTACCTGATCACGCTTAACCTAAACTCTAAGTTTGTGATTGTTTGTACGGGTAATCCTAAATGTCTGTGATTGTTTGTACAGGTAATCCTTAAAAAAGGATGATTTGTAAATATGTTGAATTGAAAGTACATAATTTTATAAAGTGAATTATATATATAAATATACATGAAACAAGAGTGAATTCCAGTACGAGGCCAATGAATAAACTGGTCTTACAAGTTGAGATCATTCGATTGATGGATGACTCTGGTGGAATATGATGAGTTATTACTGTGAACGCATCCGATCCTCGAGTGGTTCCAGCTATTTGTGATGTGATGATAAATATATATATGATTGCATGTGTAGGTTTATCTTGTATTTTGTGATGCATTAAAATGTGTAGATTGAATGTGTGTATGTTGTAATGTTTAATGTATTTGTTAATTGATAAATTGTTTTGTTGTGCTGATGTGTTTATAATCTATTTGGTGTGGCTATCAGTTGATTAAATTATGTTTATTAATTCTATTGATTTCCTGTTTGTTTGATTGAATTATGTTTACTGATCTTGTCAATTTTCTACTGTATTCTGAAAATTAATGAAATTCAGTATTGTTTTTTGAAAGAAGAATATGATAAAGGAATGTGAGTATGTATTTGAATGCTATGATACTTGGAGATATTACTCCGAGAGTATCAGGTTAACAGAAGAAAGATAAAAACTTTCGTAAGACTGTAGCATTTGATTATATGGTAAATTCTATAAGATTAATGGTAAATTGTGAATGATTTACGAATTTAAATAAAATTGTTTCAAAGTGGTTGTGTGTTTACATAATTATTATTTTCCGTTATATGTTTACAAATTATTGATAAACTATCTGTTTAATTTAAATATGTTAAATTACTTGTCAAATTGTAATGATTGCATGTAAACTAACCATAGGATGTAATTGAACTAGATTTAATAATAAGGAATTTTGTATGTTGTATGCTGTATTTTTTGTTTGAAAATTGTATGTGTAATATGTATGTTTCTGCTATTCTGTTTGTGTTGACCAATTATGCAGGAAGTGAGCTTAAGAGTGGGAGACTATTATATAAACTTAGAGTTTATTGGTATTTTATATCTCATCCCGCGTTATGGGGACACATTTCAGGTTCTGCTATAGGTGACGAGTCTTCAGAGAATAGGGAACGCCAAAAGGATGTTTCGCAGACACAGTAGGAGTAGCGCGATTAACTAACGTTTGGGATTCTGCGTGGATGTTTGTGTTTCGAATAAATCATGTATTGAGATAAAGATATTGTTGGTACAACTGTATATAATTGATATGAGATTTTGTAGTTAAAGGTTTGGATATGTTACGTACAACAAAGTATGTCTGTATGTTTAAAGTTTGTTGAGAGTGAGTAGGAGTCTATGGATAGATTCTAAAGATGTTAATATGAATATGAATATGTATGTATTGGTTATGTCTGGATATCAGGTTTAAGAATTTGGATAGTTCGATAAACAAAGGTTATGTTGTCCGTTTTTATTGAATTGGTAGCTGTTACAATTTGGTGTTAAGTTTTAATTTTATGCAGTTATGTGGCTATATAGTTTATTATAATGTCGTGAACATAAAGGATACAAAGAAAAAGTTTTAATTTGTCACGTAATTTCAAGATAACCATGTTGATATTTATAGGAAGTCTTATGATATCCTTATAAAATTAAGTGCGCATCTGTACCATTTTGCGTAGCGTTCCGGATAAGGAAAACAAGGTGTTACAATTCTCATATATCATAAACCCTCTTCAAATAATTGTCCCTCTTGACTTACTTAAGCTAAGCTGCGCATAATAATATAACCAACAAAACGTCAAAGTATAATATGAAAGAGAAGTTTAGAGACACAAGCAAATATATTTAAAAATAAAAGATGATATTACCATTAAAACATAAACCACTAGAGTAACAAGACACGCAACCCAGAAGCAAATTATTTTTGGCTTCATCTCAGGGATGAATTTTCAACACTCAGACGCTAACTTTGTGTTACACACACTAGAATTATAAAGATATAACTCGCTTAATTTCATTTTTTACACCTCTTATTTATTTATTTTTATATTTCTTCACCGATTCATCAATTAATTCGGCCGGACAGGACAACAGAACCTCGTCAAAGCCAGTTGATCTACATGATCTGTGCTACCCCTTCTTTATTTTTAGAGTAAATATCATTTTTAGTCTTCAGCAAATTTCACGATACTCATTTTAGTCCCTAGCAAATAAAAAGACCCTTCGTAGTCTCTAAGAAATTTAAAATGGACCCATTTAGTTGAAATTGTGGTCCCTCACAAATTAAAAAAAGACTCATATTAGTCCTTATAAGGACTAAAATGAGTCTATTTGAATTTTTTAAGGACCACAATGAGCCTTTTTATTTGTTAGGAACTAAAGCGGGTATCGTAAATTTTGATAAGGACCAAAAAAAAGTATTTCCTCTTATTTTTACTTCAGACTTTCGTAAAGCTCCAATGGAAGACGAGGATGGAGCACAACTTCAAGTGTGTTTTCCTTAGGCAAGGCCACTCCTAAACCTTCATTCATATCAACTGGAGCACCTGATTTTGTGCATATATCAAACCCTTGAAGCAACCGAGCCAGAGTCAAGTGAACCACTTGCAGCCCAAATGTCATGCCAGGACATGACCTTCTTCCAAAGCTAAATGGGATAAACTCAAAGTTATGACTCTGAAAATCAAGGTCTACATGAGTGGTGAGGAACCTCTCAGGTTGAAACTCATCAGGGTTGGACCATATTTTTGGGTCTCTCTGTAACTTCCATAGATTAATAAGCAAACGAGTGCCTTTTGGGACATGGTAACCTGCCACGTAGCAATCATCAATGGCTTCCCTAATTCCTGTTAAGGGTGCTGGTGGGTATAGACGAAGGGTCTCTTTGACAATGGCTTGTAAATAATTGAGGTCTTTGATGTCACATTCCTGAACCCATTTGTCTTTTCCTATTTTGGTGTCTAGCTCTTGTTTTGCAGCCTTTAGGACACTTGGATGGTTTAGAAGCAAGGAAAGTGCCCATGTTAGTGTTATGGCTGTGCTTCCTGAGGCAGTAAGGATAAGAATCTGTACCAAAATTTGGCGAGTTAAAGACTTTTTTATTTTATTTTATTTGGATCAGGAAAAACATAACAGAAATTTGAGTAGAATATGGATCTAATACATAAGAGTAAAGTACTTGTTAAGTAAGGTTAACACCCAAAAAAACAAATAAATATTAATTGAATTTATTATGACACGCTTGTCATAGGGGGAGTTGAAGTGTAACAATTAACAAATGTATTTCCGTAACATTTACATAATAAGAAAAAATAATAGAATGCATTTCGATAAAATAGTTTAAAAAATGTGAACGTTTGCTTCGCGGGATTTTGTTTATATAATTTTGAATTTTAATAACTAGAACATGCTTAGGTATGATTAATTGTTCTGTGTACGTTGCAATTTTACGGCGGGATGCGGTGGCTTACACACTTTGGTATCTATTTTATTTGGAAACTGATCCTAATTACTTATTTGAGGCGAATCAGAACCTCCTGGTATTTCTACGGGTTCGACTCTTTGAGCCGCCTATGGAACTAATCCAGAGTTCGGGTGCGAGTCCAAGGATTACGGTACTTATGCCCCTCCCCAGATGGTGTTGGTGAGATTCGAATCGAGGTCCTCTCCTACCACTCAGTTCCTATGCTACCAACTGAGCCACTACACTTTGGTATCTCTTACCTTTAACCTAATAAAATTTCCGATATTTTTATATCTCTTTTAGTAATTTAAAACATAAAAGATATTTTTTGTGTATAATCCAGGCAAACTTTTCGTTCTAAAATATTTAGTAGAAACTTTTCGTTCTAAAATATTTAGTAGTTAATGTATCAAAATAAAATTACTCTTTAACTTTTTGTAACAAAAGAGTATAAGTCCGTAACTTTAACTAACCACTTTACAATATTTTTTCTAAAGAATTTAACTTTTTAATTAATTTTATAACAAATAAATATAAATTTATAGCTTTTAATATAAACTTTGTAAAAAAAAAAATTCTATCTCCATTAACCTCTCTTTTTTCTCTCTCTGTTTTTCTCTCTTTCCCTCATATCCTTTTCCTTTGACTTTCTTATCCGCAACTCAAAATATATGCTTCTTTTTTTTTTTTTTTGGTACATCAAAATATATGCTTTACATTACATATAGCTGATATATTAAAATAACTAGATTTCTGTTAGAAGTTAGTGCATCACAAAAAAAAAATTAACAGTAATTCTAAAAATTACATACTCATAAAAGTAAAGTAATTTATAATAATAATCATAATACCATGCCTTTTTTAGAAAAATATCAACAGGAAGTCATGAACCCATATAAATCGTTATTTGTGTGGTTCTGAAATCCATGGAACAGAGCTATCCGTCTTTTTCGATATTTACGTAGAGTATCATACATCAGTATCAGTTCCTTGGGAAAAATATCTATTGCCCTGTATTATTGAACCCCGACAAAAGAATCTTCCAATTTGTGGAGGGAAATTTTTTCGAGTAAATATTTTGTGGACGAAAACAATAGTTGAACAAGTTATATGCATTTATACTTTATGCTGGCCAGTTCAGAAGCCTGCTATATATGGCTACAAGTCTACAACTTCAAGAATGACCAGCGAGTAAGGTTAACTTTGTCCTACAGATCATTGCTAAGGACATATTTCGTGGAGTGTATTTTACTTTACATTATTGATAATTAAGTGACTGAATTAGAATATAAAACTGCAGAAAACGAAATAATTGTATTACAATAGCCCAACAGTCAAATCAATGAAAATCTAAGTTTTATTATTCTTATACTATACTGATAAGTTGATTATGTACCAATCAAAATATATGTAAACATTTTTTTTGGTCCATGATAATATCTACGAAATTTTTTTAGTTCTTGGCAATAAAAAAAAGACTAAATTGGTCCCTAACACAGTATGTAAAAAGGGCCACGTTAGTGACAGAGGAGTTGACATAAGGACTAATGTAGCACTTTTTTCATAATTATAGGGACCAATTTGGTCCTTTTTTATTGCCAGGGACTAAAAAGGATTTCGTAGATATTGTCAGGGACCAAAAAAGATGTTTACTCTATATGTTATTTATTGGAATAATATTTTTTATATTATAAAAAATAATTTTATCTCTTATACCCACGTAAAAGTGTGTGAAATTCATATTTTCTTTTTCTCTCTCTTCTCGCCATATTCACACACTTTTACATGTGTGTAGCAGATAAAATTATGAGTTTAATATTTTTTATATTATAGAAGATAAATTTATTTCTTACACGCATAAAAGTGTGTGGAACATACATATGAGGAAAAGATAGAGAAAGAAAAAATATGGGATACACACACTTTTAAGTATATGTCTGATATAATTTTATCTTCTACCAGATGAGAAATAATAAATTCTAAAATATATCCTACACTACAAGAAATATTAATATCATTATTTATATAAGAGAAAAAAAATTTTGACTCCAAGAATAACAAATCTTAATACCTACCTTATTTCCGTACATCTAACTAATGTAATTCATTGGAATCAAAATATCTGTCTCCTTTGTATAAATTTCTTAATGTATATGAGTATGCCTTTGAAAATTACTACTAATTAATATCCAACTACTAAAGAGCATATATGGAAAACGTACCAGTGCCGTTGCTTTTATCACTATCTCCCGCTTGTGGCCACAAAACACATCATGCTCTTCAAACGTGGATATCAACACATCCATGAAGTCATGCTCACATCCACCATTCTCATCTTGAACTCTGTTTCTCACATGTTCATTCATCCACTTATCAAGAATCAGATCTATTTCCTTGAAAGTCCTCTTCATGAAACTCACATACCCTTGAAAATCAAACCAACCAAGATAAGGAATAGCATCAGCCATCACAAAAACACCACTGAGATATGTAGCATCTTTGATAGCCCTCCTTAATCTCCATGCCTCACTGTCTTCTTGCCCTATGGTTTCAGTTCTAAATCGCTTCCCTGCTATCATCTTCACAATATAATTAAATGTCATGTGTTCCAAAAAATTGCTTAGAGGAACTTCAATTGAATTACTCTCATTCTTTGCAAATGATAACGAGTTGTACAAATCTTTGACAAGAGAAAATATTTCTATGTCTCTAACATGCTTAAGCTTTTCAAGCCTGTAACTTGAAAGAATCTCGAGAGTGGCAATTTTTCTCATGTCACGCCAGTATTTTCCGTAAGGGGCAAGACCCAAAACGGCATTGTTGTAACCCATGTATCTCCCAGCAGCTATGCTTGGCCTTGAAGCAAAAGCTTTGTCATTTGTTATGAGGCATTCTTTGGCAATTTCCCTGTTACTCACAACTAAGGTGTTGTGGCAACCAAGCCTGAGGGAGAAGATTGAACCATATTTCTCAGCCATAGCTGAAAAGGTCCTAAAATATGGTTCATTAGCATTTAGAAGATGGAGGTGACCTACGAAAGGTAAAGCACCACATGGTTCAGGCACTTTGTTGTACTTGTACTTTGTTGTAATAGACCTAAAAACAGTATATACAATCAATAAAGCTAATATTGCAGAAATAGTTTGGAAATTGAAAGCAAGATCCATAGGGTCCTTGGAGAGGATTGAGTAATCACAATACTTGCACATCTATTTATAGGATCTGGATTTTTTATTTTTAGTAAATAACAAGAAAGAGAATTATTAATGATATATATAACAACATAACTAATTTTGAATGTAAGTACTCGTGATGGTGGGTCCTTTCATTAATTGTAAAATTTCTGTCTGTCACTTAAATTCTGATAATATATGATAAAATAAAAGTAACTCTAGCACACCATATTTTTTTTCTGATACAATAGACAGAATTGAACATCAAGTTATTAAGAAGAAAAAAGTATCATCATGTAAATGCAATTAAAGATATGTATGTTGGGGCTACTACATGTGTGAAAGCATGTAATGAAATATCAAGTTATTTTCCTATTACAGTAGGTGTACACCAAGGTTTGGATTTTAGTCCTTATATCTTTGTCTTAGTGATGGATGAACTAACAAAAGACATTCAAGAGGAAGTGTCGTAGTGTATGCTTTTTGCATATGATATTGTGCTTATTGTTGAGACCAAAGACGATGTTAATAGGAAATTTGAATTGTGGATAAGCACGTTAGAGTCTAAAGTTTTCATGTTAAGCCGGAGCAACACTGAGTATATGAAGTGTGAGTTTTCTCTTGTAAGAGATGGAGATCAAAATCCCGTGCATCTACTTGGTCAAGAGGTACCCAAGAAATATGCTTTTAGATACCTGGGATCAATTTTAAAAAAAGGTGATGAGATTGATGATGATAAAAGTCATAGAATCAGAGCAGGATGGATGAAATGACGGAGTGCATCTAGGTTTTTCTGTGATTCCAAAATTCCCCTTTGTTGGATTTTGCTCTTTCACTAAAGCCCAATAAGGCCTAGTGTGTAAGAAGAGCAATAGAAACCTAAAGCCCATTCAGCTTAGGGCTAGGGTTTCCTATACTTATAGTCATCAGCCTCTTTGGTCTTCACTTGGTAGTTATAGAGGCTGAGGGAAGGTCATCTACCTGAAAGTGAAAGAGTGCCCGCGCACTTACCATTTTCCCTTGAGATATATTCTGGAAGATCTGCCACTGTCCAACTTTAAGGAGGTTGTTCGTGAAGCGGAATTGAGGTGAGCAGTTCATAAGAGGAATCATACATGAGAAGATTCTGCACGAGATTTGCGCACCAAGAGGTAATTGTGTAATGATGATGATTTGGTAAGCATACCAATGTACTAGGCCTTAAATCGCTTCCGCATAAATCCAATAGTTCCTGCAATTGGTATCAGAGCCTTGGCTGTACATTGGTATGTGAATCTAGTTTCACTATTCATGTAATTAGTTTTGCTTCATGAAATATGACACCTAGGGTTCTATGTTTATTGGTATGTATTTCGCATGTGTATCCTTTATAATTCTTTTTATAAAAATTGATACTTTTATTTGGTTTTTGGCTTTAATCCATGGTAGAGATTTGGTTTTATTTTCTTGGGATGTAACAAGGAGGCTAATTCCTTATGATTAGGTTTCCTCCTTGATTTTTTTATTTTAATTTTTGTATAGTTTTTCGTTGTATTACAAAATGGTCATAAAAGAAGATCAAGAAGATGAAAAAAGAAGCGCGTTCGTCACTATTTTGGGTATGCTCGTGATATTTCGGTGGCCAATCTGAGAAATCAACCACATAGGGTGAAAGAGGATAAAAAACCAAACAAGAAGACGACCTGATCCGTTTGAGAAGAGACTCCAAGCGCTATCACGTGCCGCCATAAGTTGCTGCGCGTAGGCGCCACGCGCCGATGAAGAAGGTGAGAGCGCGTGTGAATTCTGTAAGAACCTGCACCGTTAATTAAGAAAATTAATTAATTAAATATGAGAATTAGGAAATAATTCCATAATTGACCCTAATAATTATTATGAGGCTTAAATAATTATGGTAAGTGAGTAATAATGCAAAAAGTCGCTTTTCGGACGAAAAACGCAGATACCGGTTCTGCTAGTCGGTATAAATGCGTACCGATAAAGTATCCCTGAAAATTATAATAAGTGCATGAATATTACTAGAATAATATATAGAACTTGTAAAACGCGTTTCAAGTTAAAATAATGAGAACTGGTGCCAGAACTGATATTGGCTATGGCAAAAGCGCGTACCGGAAAGGTGCAAAGAAAAATAAAATAAAAATATGATAATTCTTGTAAAAGTGAGTAGGTTAAGAATCCTGAGTTTGGGATTAAAATACTAAGCGTAGCTATTAGTGCTAATATTGTGTGATTAACTTTAAACCGGCTATAAATAGCCACTTACACACAACCCTAGGCTGATCCTCAGCCATTTGTACGTGGGTTTTGGTGTGTGCTGGTCAGCCTCCATTGTTCCTTCCCTTCTCTTCACCATTGAAGACCAAGTTGTCACATTTTACTTGTTTTTCTTCCCCTTTCAACTTGTAAACACTTGAGTGGGTGTCTTGTGAGGGTGGGGTTCAGTTTTGCTGAGTTTAGGTTACTGTTTGGGGAAGAGTTTTGGGGCTGAGTTCCTTGCTTGGGTGGTTGGAGCTTTCTCTTGGTTGTGGGAGCTCCAAGTGGTCATCTTTGTGAAGAAAGGACCCATCTTGTAGTGCATTTTCGTGCACCATCTTAGTCTGGGTATTTGGAGCTGTTTGGTGATCTCCAAGAGCACTCCCTTCTCTGTTTTGAGCCTTGGGTAAGTGTTACCACCTTTGATCATGAGTTCTTTTGGTTAAAAAAGATTTCTTGGCATGTTTAATAAGTTAAACAAGTATGTAATCTGTTTATGAACTTAAAAGAGGTTAAAAATGCATGCTTAGACGTTCTTAATTGGTAAAAGTTGGGCCTTTGATGGATATCTTCCCGAAATGCAGAAACTGCATTCTGTCGCGAAATATCCGGATATGGATATCCGGATATGATATCCGTATATTGATATCCGGATATGGGGATCTGGATATCCGGATATTGATATCCAGATATTGGCAGAGAGATATCCGGATATGCCCCCGACATATATCCGGATATTCTGAATTTTCGAAGAATAGTGGCTGCACTGTTCATACAGAAGGTTTGTATGGGTTTGTGGACCCTAGTATGATGATGAGGTACTTCTGTAATAATGAATTTAAGTCAGAATCAATGGATTTAGGGCTTGTGGCTTTGTGGAAAGCCTTAAGACGTAAAACGTAAAAGGAAAAACGTAGTCTTTATGTTTATACGTATGAGCTATGTTTATTGATATGCTTGCTGGTCCTAAATCAGATTGTGATCTTGCTGTTTGTGGACTCTGAGGTATTGTGGACTTTTGGCTTGGATAGCTAGCTTGCAAGGTAAGCTTTCGTGTCCTCAGTTTAGCCATTCTCCGTTCCACCATACTCCATGGGGGGATGGTTTATATGCATGATGTGTTTTCATGTATTGTTTTGCTGGAATGCTATCGAACTGTTAAGTGCAAATGCTATAGATATGTATGTGGTGTTCCGTCTAAACAAGATGCCATGGGGTATTTCTGTGGGCGGGTACAGCATGGGCTGGTATTTATATAGGTAATAGACGTATTCCTGCATTTCTCTGATCAGTAGAATAGTTATAACACACATGACATGAATATCTCTTGCATTGCACTGATTTTGGAACTGATATTGAATTACTGCTTTTAGAACTTATATTGCACATGTAAGTGAGCTTGGGGTGGAAGATCGTTGAGGACCCCTTGTCTTACTGAGATTTCTTGTTTAGAGATTTCACCCCACGTTTGGGGACGCTTATTTCAGGTTCAGGTAATATGGGGGCTGATGCCTCTAGCGGCAGGAGGCCAGAGCCTAGCTGATGATATTGCTGTTATATTTATGCTGACATATCTGGATTGGATGATGTTTATGTTTTCCGCCTTATTATGCTGTTGATGTTGAGACTCATGTTGGGCTTGATGCCTTATTTGGGTGAGCATGGGGTTTGTCCATGCCACTTTATGTTAGTACTTTGAGTTGAGATGTCTAACTTAGTAGGCTGTCCGGTCTACGTGTTGTAGTTCCGTGACTAGAGACTTATATTTGTTATTTCAATTAATGAGATTTTCAGTTAGCTGTCTTTTGCAATTTACATACAGGCATGATTTTATTTAAATGATTAATTAAGCAAGTTGGTAATGATAATGACGTCATAATTGAAAAGAAAAAGATATTCCGCATTTTTAATTAAGCGCAGCTTAATACGATGATATGATAACATTACCGGATATATACGGGGTGTTACATTTTATGGTATCAGAGCAATGGTTCGAGGGATAAGCATGTATGTATTGCAATGATTAGGATGTTTGGTTGTGTCTGTCTTGTGTGTTTGCTCCGCTGGGTTTTATTAGGATGATGTATATGTGAACACATTGCGTGGGCCTGATCAACTCATAATTTGTGTAACTTGTGCAGAGTCATGGAAGGATCCAGGAGAACACGAGAGACTGTTGAGGGTCAACCCGACCCAATCCTGACTGTATAGGCTGAGATGCAAGAGGCCACTAGATTGGCCAACGTGGCAATGGTGGACGCTGCTAGAGAAGCAAACCAGAAGGCCACAGAGGATGCTCTCAAGGAAAATCGACTGGCGAACATGACCATGATGCGAGTTATGTTGGAGGAGATGAGGGCTGGTCCTGCTGTTGGCCAGTATCCTCCGCCACCACCTCCACCGCCACCACCGCTTTCGCCTCCACCTAGTGTTCAGGATGAGAGCCTGAGTCACATTGGTAGTGCTACTCATGTCACTGGGGTGATGGAACCCTTTATGGAGCCTACTGAGGACCGTGACGTGATTGACCGTCGGCTGAACGCTTTCAGGAAGAATAAGCCCCATTCTTTTGATGGATCTTATGATCCTATTGCTGCGGCGAGATGGCTATAGGCACTAAACAAGATCTTCTGGGTCATACAGTGTACCGACCTGCAGAAGCTGATGTTCGCTACCTACATGTTGGAGGGCGATGCCCATGAGTGGTGGATGAACACCTCTTATGCGTTTGAGATGCAGGGTCATGTTATGACATGGCCATTCTTTGAGGACTACTTTTTGGGCAGATACTTTCCCTATGATGCACAGTAGAGGAA